GTTTTCAGTGCAGAGATCTGGGTTGTAATCAAACCCTGCTACTTACACAGCTCTTCCCTTAAAAGCAGCCTTTTTCTCTTCTGCTTGTTCATTCTTGGCCCCCGCTGTTTGGCAAGGTGCGCCCACACCACATCATGCCAGAGACTTTTAACAGTTAGCCTTAGACTATTTAACCACTGGTTCACCATGACATTTAGTCTTTACTTCTTCTCTCTTTAAAGTCATTGTGTTTAACAAAGGCACCATTCATGATCACTTACCTTGCGTCCCACCTCATTATTATGGAGGTTCATGAGTGTCCTTGCATTCTGTTTGACCTCCCGAGCGTCGATAAACACTTTGGAGAAGCCCAGGCCGTAGCTGATGTCCGCCGAGCAGCCTCCCCACTTCCAGCCTTGGTTTTTACTGTAGTATCCCTGCTTCTCCTTATCACAGCTACAGTCGCTCAGGTTACCCTGTGTACAGGCGGCTGTGATGGCATGGGCCACCCCTGCGGCAATGATGGCGTAGGTGAACGCAGCCTCTTTACTGCCTAGCAGAGCAGAAAAAGAGAGGGATGAATAAAATGTTGCAGGTATACATTGACACTTTTTGAAATCAAGAATGTTTCTCCCTGTGTTCAAGTGATATCCAATAAGTATGACACAGGAGATTAATTATTAACTGTTTGTAGGCTAACATCACAGTCTTTCTGTCATATCCCTCAAGGGCTGCAGTGTTTTGAAACCTGACCTGGAAACTGTCCTGCCCATGAACCAAAATGGCCACTGGTTGTATAGTCAACAAAGCAGTATGAATAAGAGGGTTGTCGGCAAGTAAGAGCTATTGATCCATTCAGAAACTGTCCCATTCTGTGTAAACTCATAAGGCACTGACATCAGAATCTTCATCCTGCCGTTATCTCGACCAAGTCCAGCTAACAAATCATTTACACACACACGGAAATATCGACAAATAACTAAAGGTTAATCTGACTGGATTTATATAGACAGATCCTGAAGCAAGTTCTCTTGTTAAATACAAAGCCGAGAAAGAAACACTACAAAGCATATTTTTCAGAGCCTTATAATGCAAACAAAGCAATATGTTTTCCTTTGATGCAATGTAAAATCAGTGGTTATATTCATATCCATGATCAACAAGTAGCTTGTTTTTATTTTCAGATCTGTGATTTACTATCGTGCAAACAGGAATCTCCAGAATATAACATCCGTTATATCTACGTGTAAACAAACTCCTCTTGTCTCTGATGACAAACATCATACCTTCTTTGTCCTTCCTCCTAACACCAGGTTGACTGTGTAAAGCCGCCATGTTTTTGATAAAAACATCTTAGATGTGTGCCTTTGCCATTGAAAAGAAAATCTCATATTGAGGCATCAATTATGTGGACGTTTTTATAGACTCGACGGGCTATGAGCCAAAAAAGAAGGTGTGTCTGTCAGTTCTGACTTCACCGTTGTTAATTTTTCCCCTCCAGTTCTGAGTGCATGAGTTCACCGCAAGACATGGTATGAATATCTTTCTGACTTTGTAATGTGAGGTGGAAGATATTAAAAAAGATAGTGGACTAAAAATCCAAACACCTGTTTCATTTGAACTCAAAGTGCCAGTTCACTGTTCTTCTGCCATGTTTGTTTCTCTTTCATCTCTGCAGAGTCATGCACCTCTTTATATGGACCTCGTCTCATACAGCTTAGTGTAACTATAAAGTTCAAAAGCAAAACACAGTTGAGGCCTAAAATGGCTCAAAGCTGATGCACCTTGCATTACCAATAAGGATTATGTCACTTTACGGGTCATTCCTCCTTCGCTTTCAAGAACAATTGCAAGCCCCACAGTTCCACTCGGCCGGTGCATCAACAATGGCATTCATTTACAACTATTGGCCTTCTGCGCTAATCTGATCAGTGAAACCAATCTATTTTGTATGGCTGTCCAAGCCGTAGACTTAAACTCCTGTCTTGGAAACACAAACCAAGAGTCTTGACGGACTAAAACCACTTATTCAAAAAGGAACAGATTGTCAAACACTGCTTTTTTCAGTTTGACAGCATAAAGAGATAATCCTTTCTTTCCAACTGCAGCAGGCAGGATGGCCTCACACAGCTGGTCCAGGCTGCTGACCATTGTGTGAAATGGTATTTAGCTTATTTGGTTTATATCAATAGTTTGGGGCGTGAACTAAAACATACAGAAATTCTATTAAGGTTTTCATCTAAAAGGTTTTACAAGGCATCCTCTGTTATCAAACTATTTACATTGACTGTAGCCAAAAGGGTATCATTAGACATCATATAATTATATTTCATTAAACCTTATCTTTCTGTTATTGATATCCTCGATTTCTAAGAGTCGTTAATCTTTAGTTCATAGATAGCCAACAAACAGGCCACACAACCCCAGCCACAATTACAGCATCCCCTGTCCCGGCTCTCCTTGGAGGAGACCTTTGTCTCAGCAGTAAGCATGTTGATTTGAACTAATTCGTTTTTCTCTAATTTAGTACTTTCAGCTCTTGCTTTCCTCTTGGCTTTGCCCCACTGTAACTTATACCCGTGGTAAGATTTACATCCTTACAGTGAGAGCCACAGCACCCATCACTAGACAGGATAAAGACCAGAGAAAATGAGTCTCCAGAGACTTTGCCGGGCTCAAAAGAAGGCTGCCAACAGTCACTAAAGCTTTGTTACGGTGCTGGCTTCAGATACCTTTTGTAGAAAAGCCCTTCTCAATGTGAAGTCTGGAGCAAAACTAGGCCTGATGTAATTGACACGGACTGTTTATGAGATGCTCCTTGAATGGATGCAATAATGCAGGGCAAATGATCATTTATGTGGGGAAGAAGTGTGTGTTGTCTGGTGGAGATTATGGCCCAAACGCAAATGGAAAACATATATTTTTTAGGGCATTAAGTAATTATAATGAAGTCCTTGATACACCTTGGAACCCTATTTTTGCCATTTTTTCTTGGTTAAATATTAACATTTTTTTAGGGGAATCACAAAAGAGCAAGATACAAACACTGTGCGCAATTTACGCACACACATACGCATAATAAAATACAGTTGTGTAAAAAAAATCAAGCTGTAAACAAATGTTAACAGACAGCAACATACCCACTTTCAACTCTTTTCCGAAGACTGTCCTCTCTCCAAGCGCAGAGCAGTTCCAGCGCCCGTTTTTGAACTGAAACTGACACTCGTTGATGCCCATTTGGGCTCCCTCTCCGATGACGATAATGGCATCGGGACGACTCTGGCAGATAATCCGTTGTCTGGGGGCCAAACCGGGGATCTTGTTACAGATTATGCTCGCACCTAGGGCCACCACCGACGAGAAGCCACTGTGAATGGAAGATGGATATGACTGAGAAAAAGTACCATCAACCATTTTTCTTTTTTTTTTGGTCGTTAGTTTCATTTTTCTTTTTTTTTTTACTCTATATAGTTTACTTTACACTTTAAAATCAGATACATTCCACCAATTATTTGTACTAAATAGCGGTGGTCTTAATGAAATACATGGTCATAATTCAAATGTAAATATATAACTGTTGAAAATATACTATTTTCCTGGGATAATTGCAGTATAACATTAGAAATAATCACCTAAATGATTTTCCACTTTAGAAAATATTTTATAACATGATTTTGATAAGGTGCAATACTAAACTAATTCTGCTAATTCAAGTATATTACATTTGTCAGATAAGACTTTTAATTAGTATGACAGACTTTAAATGTGAAATGAAGGAAATAAAATGTATGGAAATAATGGTAAAACCGGGTGCTATCAGTCCAAGACAGGTTTACGCTCTTCCCTTTATCTTTGATATATCGTTTGTAAATTCACCTGCCTGCTTTTGAGCTAATATTAGTTCAAATATCTACAAAAGGATTAACAATGATTAAACGTTTGATAGTTATTCGTCAGTTATTAGAGTTATTTGAGTTTAAGAAGAACGTAAAAACTAATGAAAGGTAAAATAACCGTAGCTCACCCAATTTTCAAATAAACAATTCCCAGACAAAGTAAAACTCTTAAAATCCAGCGTCTTGTTCTCCGACTCATTGCGGCCCCGCTCTCAGTTTCATGCAACGATCTGCAGAGCTGATGAGTAACTCGCTTCGCTTAGTCTCCGATCGATCACAGCCCAGGTAACTCCAAAGGGACTCCAAAATGACGAATAGCATCAAAAAATAGCACACGATCGGGAAAACTGTTTACAAATTTCCGGTTAAGGTATCATCCAAACTCCCTTTACGTGGCCCGCTATGGCTGGGCCCTGTTGTCATTGCGAGGGTGTCACAGGTAACCCTTGGGGTGAGCAAGTGCGATTATCTCTTTCTCACAGTTCCTCTACTACCCGCAGGTCCTGGCTATATATCTGGCTCATCTATCTGGGGCGTGTTCTCAGGAGACATGGGGCCCTGCATGCTGAAGAATCCCGCCAGGGCTGAATCTCAACACACGCACTAGCGCGCACACGCAATCACAAGTATACAAGTAGGCCTACGCGTGCGCGCACATGCACCTTATGCTGTGAATTCACCTTGACTGATTGGCTTTTTTTGGTTAGTGAGTGGGTCAGGGCCTAAAGTAAAGTGGACATAAGCTTACTTTTACGCAGTTTAACACCGAAATTAACGATATGTTTCCACACAAGCTGCAGATAAACAGTCTTAAAACAAATGCAAAATGCACTGACTTGTAACCTAGACAAATTATACTCCCTTCCCTCTGTTTCCATATGGTTGAATCAAACATTGATCATATCTAATACGCATTTGTTTACATGATTATAGTTCAATAATTGTTTAGATTTTTTGTTCATAGGCTACTATAAGAATAATGTATCCACTTCATTCAGTTTTATAAATCATCTGCTGCGCACTTCCCCTTAGTGCGTCTCTCTTCCATGGACTTTCCTTTGAATCATCTACCTTTTATAATAGCGACATCTGGTGGCTTAGTGAAGACCTTTCAGGCTGTGTTCTGAAAAACACAACCCTTCTTGTCCCTGTTTAGTTTCCGTAGTTTGCCTAAACTATGAAGTGTTTGCGTGTTGACGTACAGTAGGGAGATAGCTGGTGCTGGAAAAATTAATAACATCAGTATGGATCTCCATCCGCCGCCATTGATCCGGGATTGCCTTATTCATATTTTTGCATTCCTGACAGAGGAAGATTTAATCACTGCTTCCAGTGTGTGTCAGGTAAGGAGTGTCTAACTTGCGGAAGTAGCACGCGTGTGCCATGAAGCCAGTCTATTATTATTCCCCAAAAGTCTGATTTGTGTTTGATAACATTTAACAAATGTATTTTTTAGGATTGGAATGAAGCTGCAGAGACACCTTGGTTGTGGAGGTGAGTTGTCTTGCTTGTTAATTATTTGAATGTTTTTAAATTCCATTTTATCATGTTATTTCCTAATGCTCCTCATTTTTGTAAAGCACTTTGAATTGCCTTGTGTGAAGGTGCTATATAAATAAACTTGCCTTGCATGCCTGTCTTTCTGTATTTTCCAACGTCAAGCAGATGATGCTCCTGTGATCTGTGAACATATCTGAATGTCCAATCCTGTTGTCCCCTCAGGAAGATGTGTCTGCAGCGCTGGAGTTTCTGTAACCTCGCTGTCCTGGGGAGTGAACACGTAAATCACTCATGGAAGAGATACTTCCTGCAACGCTGCCACTTAGAGATGAAGATGACGGCAGGCAGGTCAGGAGGTTACACCTGCAAAAGCCTCAGAGGACACGCAGGTATGCTGTCTCTCTGTGAGATCTTCTTTGCATGTCTTCATGTAGTCTCTCATTAAATGTTTACACCTGACATGCTGTCCATCAGGCAGAGTGGTAGGGCTGGTGTACCTGCAGGGGAACTCAGCCCAGAGTCCTGACCTCTGGAACAGCCGTGCCACAGTGTGCAGCGCCTCCACTGATGGTACAGTCCGAGCGTGGGACATCCAAAATGTTAGTGACACCTCACCCTGTATTCCCAGTTTAATATTGTTAAGTATTTGTACAATTAGTATGATATTGTATCTGTAGAAATGCTTGTTTGTAGGCACAGCATTTAAAGAAGATGTAACCAAACTTACATAGTACATTTCTGTCATAAATTGATTGTTTGACTTTACAGATAATGCCTCAACAACATGTCAAACTCAAAATAAGTGTCTGGTGTCACATGCTGTGAATCCTTATCAGTGTCTGGTGACATTATTTGAATGCAGGTATCATGCTGCTTTCTCAGTATAATAATATAGATAATTTGTACACTTTTACAATATTATAAAGTATTTGTACAAGTGCTTGTTATGAGGCACATAATTTAAAGACATTTAATCCAGATTTCTGTATAATTCTATGAGTACCTTTCTGTCCTAAATTGATTGTTTGACTTTACAGATAATGCCTCAGAAAAAATGTTAAACTCAAGTGTCAAGGGTCACATGCTGAGAGTCCTTATCAGTGTCTGGTGACATTGTTTGAATGCGGGCATCATGCTGCTTTCAGATATTTATCTACACAAAACTTTAATTGAAATGTGCTAAAGTCATGTGCTACGGCAAAACACGTATGCAGGCTACATTTCACCTAATCCCACTGAAACAGATTTTCTAAATTAGCTCCCTCTTCTTGGTTAAAAAAGTCTACAGCCACTGGAATATATTCCCTCACAGAGGCCTGAGACTGAGCTTTCTTCCCTCAGGGTGAGCTCCTGTGGTGCAGTCCCGTTCAGAGTCCTTTGACAGCGATTATTGGTGATGAACGGCGTGAAGTTGTGATCACAGCAGACTCCACAGGCCTCATCAAGACCTGGCATGGTGAGAGCGGCAAGGAGGGGGCCTCTTTTGCTACTGGCTCTCCACTCGGTTCATTACTACAGTATAACATCAACAACAACTGGTTTCTGACTGTGAGTAACTTCAGATTTTTTGGGTTTGTAAATCTATAAATGATATAGTATGTTGTTTCTAGTAAATCGTTATATATTCTCTTCCAGGTTGGAACCAGCCAGGGATCTGTGTGTACACTAGCAGATTCAGCTTTGACTAAAAAGTCCAGTGTGATGGTGTGTGACTCTTTCAAAGTCAACACTCTCCTAGTTTCACGTGACAAGAAATGGATCACTGCTGGAACCAAGGACAAGGATGATTTAAGTCCAAAGGTATTTCTTGTTGTGTTTGACATTCTGACTTTATGTGGGTGTTTCCTGCTCTGTTCTGCAATCATGTGTTTGTTTTTTACCACATTACCTCAGCTCGAATGACACAGCGGGAAATAGGTGTTTATATACAAGATCAATGAACGATTACATACACATTTTGTAGATTTTTGGTGTTTGCTTTGTTGGCAGGTGATTTACACAGAGAGTTTGACCTCACCGTCTGAGGACGAAGATCCTCTGTGCCAGTCTTTGCCAGTCACAGGGTGCCAGGCCGCTGTCTTCATCCCCACTCAGCCTGCGAGACTGGCCCTCATCCACCACAACGGGCTCCATAACAACAAAGCCCTCACTGTGTTCGATGTCAGCATTAAAAAGACCAAGTACAAGTCCGAGATCCAGGGTGAGGATTAAGATATTTGCAGATTGACTTTCAGATGCTTTAAATTGGATGCAGAATCTTAATTTAGCCTTTAAAAAGTTGTAGTGAGCCTTTGAATTATTCTAAGCAGATCTATCTCTACTTTCTGCAGATATTGTTAAGCAGCTGGTGTAGAATCTGCCAGATTGGATCCATTTGTCATTGTGTATTTTTCTTATTTCTGTTTATGAAAACGATTCAAAACATATAGAAAGTGGAATTATTATTATACGGAATTATCTTTTTTAACTTTATCCTGCTATCAGGATGACTAACAGAAGGGTTACTTCTGTATAAGCCTTGCTTTCTTCCCTCACGCTTTTACTAATTTTTGTTTGTTATTTGGATGTGTAAACTGTCTAATTGTGAAATAGTAGAATAAATTATAATTTTCTTTTTAAAAAGTAGGTAAATATGAATTGAAACAGTAAAACTGAATGAAAGTGTGTACCCCAAAATGTACATGACAACAAAATATCTCAGAATAAATCCCTGAAATCTGCAGTCACAGGTATTTAGATGGATTGTTCCTAAATGTTGTTGGCTTGTGCTGGTATAATTTTGAGCGTCTTCTCATCTTAGTCCAGCAGGTGGAGTCCTTCCCTTTGACACTGAACACCTGGTCCTCACAGGTCCTTCTGGAGGCCGCTGACAGTAACTGCTTAGTGTTGGCAGCCGGGCAGGAGCTATATGTCTACTCTCTGAAAGGAGCCCTGATTGCTAACTTTAAAGAGCATACAATGTCTATCTCTTCTATAAGCGTGGTAGGTTTCTTTCATATTTGGAATCAAAATAAATATTCCTTCACTTGTTGATTTTTGTTTTGTTTTATACAGTGTAATGTACTATATGTGTGAAAGAGCATACTAAAAGTGTCTTTATATGTACAGGATAGCTTTCGTGTGGTGACAGCATCTCAGGATCTTTCCTTACGGGTGTTGACATGGGGAAAGGACAGAGACCATGGGTTGACCCTAGAGAGCCAATACCATTTACTGGGAGGCTCTCACACAATGTCCAGGTACATTATCCTATGTGCTGCATCAACAACACCCAATTTACTAATAACGGAAGAGCCTGAATATAAGTATTTTCTGAGTATCTGCATGTTGCCTCATTAGTAATTTCCTAAACTTGTTGCTTTCTTTTATGCTTTGTGCGCTGTTGTCCAGACGGTTCACGCATGTCGCCTGCGACTACTCCAGCATCACAGCCTCAGCAGAAGGGAAAGATGGAAAAGACGTCTTGAAAGCATATTCTTTCACCTCTTGAGTGACACTGCTTCACATAAAGGTGCCTACAAGCAGTTTGCACAAGATACTGGGAAGAGTTACATTTGCTTTTATTATTGTTTTTTATATATGCAGATGTTCTTTGGTTAGTGTATGTTCAGAGACACCAGAATATAACACTTATTAAAGATTATAAACACCCACCATGTTACGGGAAAGGCATTGGTAAAGGTATATTGATAATGTTTTCCACTATGCTTTTGGATCTGTTAGATATGACCATGTCTTAAGGCATGATGTGTGCAAAATATATTCACCTGTTCTTCAATATGTTAGCTCCACTCACTACTGAGGTAAGAAAATACTGAATTGTGTTAGTACTGCATTAATGACAATAATCCATTTACTGTACATTCATGCTAAGACCAAAGAAAATAAAAATGACAAAATATATTTAAAGAGCTGTTATTATTATTATTACACATTTAATCCTTAAGGCACAAAAGCATCCTTTCCTCCTTCATGCGTCTACATGGAAGTCCAGGCAGTGCAGCATGACTGGTAGTAAATATGTTTAATTGTAGGAAAACGTTGGACTCATTGCTTGCATCTCTTCCTGTTCTTTGGCGATTCTCCTCATGTCCTCAAGGACACATCTTAGGACTGCAGTCATGGACTCGTACACTTTGCTATCATCTTCTGAGATATTTCTCATCTGTTCAAAGGCAAATAAACTCTCAAGTTGTTCAAACAAAACCAATGACAAGAAAGTAATACATTTGCTGAAATAAATCCCAAATAGTTAGGTGTATGGACTATCTTACCCAGGTGAAAGCCTTGATTGTACGATTCAGGAAAGCATTTTCAACCTCTTCTGGTATCTGCTGCATATGAGCCATACAATCTAGTATGCAAGTTAATGTTTGTAAACAGGCCTGGGAAGAGATAAACAAAGAATAATTCAAATCTAAATTTGAAGGCTGCATAGTCCACGGAATTAGTTTTCAAATACGTATCAGCACTGACCTTGTCCAGTGTGTTGAGGACAGTTTGAGCGTCAGTGTTGTTGGGGTCCAGGGCTTTGGCCTCCTGGATGGAGATGACCGGCTCTTTGAGCTGCTCCAGCCAGGCCCACATGAGCCCAGTGAGGATGAAGGGGTCCCGCTCCATGCACAGCCTCTCCCAGCCCCCGCCCAGGTTCAATTCTGCCTGCACACATTCAGGCACTCGTATTAGACCCCGTCTGCCTTTATGTGACTGGGGCAACTTTTTAGAAAGATTGCATGTCTGTGGACGTGGTCTTTTTTAATGTCATCTCAAGAGCGATCAAAGTTAGAGCATCATTTAGTTTGCATCTGAGATTTGTCTTATATTATGCAGAAAAGTTATCAAAGTGCGAACTCAAAATATGATTTATGTCACTGAAAATATAAAAACGTTTACACTAGGGTGCATGCAATAAGGCCTTTGTTGTGGTTGTGAATTGTAGTCTGTCATGAACCGCTGACAGAACTTACATTAAAGTATGGATGGACGAAGTGTAGCATTTACGTAATTTTGAAATGCATGCCCTCCACCTCTAAAAATACTACTACCAAGTTGTCAGTTACCTGCCAAGCGAGGATGCTGCTCTTATGCTCTTCTCCACCATCAAGACAAAAGTCCACTGCCAGGGCCTGAGCCACTAGAAGCCTCCGGGCCTCCGGGGACAGCTCCGACTGCAGGGTGATGAAGGGCACCTCTGATACCTCCTCTTCTCTCTTATCTCCAGGCTTCTTCCCATTCATTACTACTCCGTCCCTCTGCTCATCCTTCCACCTGGATAAAAAGCTACCTTTTTTGGTAGAGTCATTGTTTCCCACAGACCCAGTACGCTGGATGGTGCTCTGCTGGGCTTTCTGCAGCAGACGGGATCCATCTTTTTGGTTTTCTGAATTCTTGATTTGCCAGAGTGAGCCTGTTGAGCCGTGTGAAAAGTCAGACATGTTGCTATTACAACCTTTAATATGGATTGCCTGGTCCGGTGGGGAAAAAGACATTTCAACATTGCTCTGTGACATGGGACCTAAAGGTTGTGTGAGAAGGTGTAACTGTGAGCCGAGTCGTGTCAAGTCAGACTCACTGTAGCTCAGACTTTTGCGATGGTAGAAAATGGGTGGTTCGTGAAAATGTCTTGGTAATGTGAGCGCACCTGGTAAGCGGGGCTCCTTTAAAAAATACTCTGGACCCATCTTCTCAATGACGCTCAGAGTCCTCTCTATGTCTTCAACATCAGGGGCCACCAGAATGTCTTCCTCTATCACTTGTCGATTCTCTGCGATGTCCAACAGCAGCCTAGACACTAGCCGGATGATCTTTGGCAGGTGCCTCAGCTCCTTCCTCTCATGGCCATGCAATATGTGTCTCTGGCGGTTCAGGTACTGGGACAGGGTGACTGGGTTGAATCGGGGCTCAGCACAGGAAAACACACTCCTCAAAGGGGCAAGGAACTGGACAAAGTCTCTGACACATCCTAACTGGCCTCGGGTCTGGATGGAGTTGGGGCGTTGAGCACGAACAAACAGAATAGCCTGGTTAGCAGTCATCCTGGTAGCATAGGCCAAGAAACATGCTATCAGCACACCTGCAGGAAAGAAAGAGGAAATCCTTTGTTGTGTTTCAGAGGAATAACAGTCCTTAACACTTCCTACGGCATTCCTTAAATATATACCTGTTCTGCCGAGGCCAGCGTGACAGTGGATTGCTATCTTTCCCTCCTGCAGGGCGAAGGCCATGACCTTCACTATGTCGAGCATCGTTGTCAGGTTAGCCACTCCATAGTCACTCCAGCCGAAATTGTAGAAATAAACTGAAACGGTGAGATGTTGGCAGTTAAATCTGAGCAACAATACAGATAAACCAAGATGTATTGTATCGAGCAATTACTGTTGTTTTCCATGAAGACCTCTGGGCGGTATGAGAAGCCGCTCTCTGGCTCTAGAGGGTTTCCGCAGCTGGCGTGTTCACCAGGTATCTGTAGGTTGATCACTGTTTTAATACCATCCCTTGACACAGACACACACAAACAGAGACGTGAAAAATTCATTATTATCGTCTCCTCAGGTGCTGTGTGTTCGTAGTCAGGAAGCTGCTGGGAAAAGAATGGTCTATACCTTCTGAATTGATCGATGATGTGATACTTCTTAATGATTTCTGTTGAGGGTCTGGACATTGCCAGAAGATGATCAGTGATCCTAAAGCAATAGAAAAAGGTTATATTAACATGGGAAAATATCATTTCAAAAGCTGTTAAATTATGTTGTACTATGACTACTACTGAAGAGAAACATGTTTACCATGATGAGTAGAGGCCTGTTATGGCCTGTTGGTTATCACTCCAGTAATTTGGGTTGTCATATTTGCAAGCTGGACCTCCACAGCCGATTGAACATTGCATATGTCCAGGGACGACATAACGTATAGCTTCTCCTACAATCGTGTACTTTGCCCTGGGGGCTCTGACTGGAAGAGACAAAAAAGAGACATCTGTTATTACACACAACTTAAATCCAAAATTGTATTATAACTATAAGTTAGCTGTTTATTGTTTTTAATTTACTCTCAAAGTTAAACTGGAAGCTTTAGTTAAGTGTTTTCTATGCTGAATTAAATATTATTTGAATCCTCTTACAGCTTCCATATTATTCAACAGCACTTCACCAAATAGGTTGGTCTGTAGCATCTAAATAATTAACTCCAGTAGAGGTGTCTACTCCTTGTTTGGCTTTGCAAGTCTGTTATCTGGGCATCACAATAAAAGTAGTAGTCTGTCATCCAGGCATCACAATAAAATCAATTTTTATATAATCATTGACAGATACGTTATTTTATTGACGGCCAACTACCCGTTTTACTTACTGTATTCCATCAGAGCTCCACCTGTTGTCTTTACATGGGATGCCATATGTACAGTCACACAGACTCACATCCACAGTCATAGCAGAGCCTGGAAGCACATATATCTAGTTATGCTATATTACACACTTTATCATGTGCATCTGTAAACATGTGCACAAAATGTGCTTAGAGCCTTCTCGTAAGCAGTTTACTAACAGTCTGGATAAGGCATCTCATAAGTTACCAGAGCTCAGGATTGTTTTATTTTTGGACTGTATAAGCCTAAGTCATCATTATGTGTTTTTACACGTCAAGAGAAGTTAGATTAGTCTAAATTAGATTAGACATTTTGATCAAAGATCAACATTTCCAATCCTATTCAGTCAAGTATTCAGTCAAATGTAAAGCAGCAATATAAAGGATCGGCAAGCTGCTATTCTTAGCTGCTAGTTTTCATCACACTACAATCTTTATTCTATTTCTTCAAGACCAATGTGCAAAATAATCAGCTTTTAATTTAAGTAAAAAATAAAAATCTGAAGTAACAATAAATTCAACAAAATAGAACAAAAAACATTTCATTTGATAACAAAAGAAGAGATATTTACCTGTAGTAAGTGAGACGAGATGCTTGCAACCACCATCTACAAACACAAATGGTTCACAGCTGCAGTTTCCAACCTTTCTGACATCAATCTCCACAGCGCTGACGTTGTCTTCTCCTTTCCGGTCTGTGGAAAGTCAATCCCTTGGCCTCACTTGATTTGATTCGTCTCAGATTATCCCTGTGGGGCAGGGTGAGGCAATCCAAGACACTCAAAGGATCCTGTGCGCTTCTTTGTAGAAAGTCATCTATCCCACAAGGATGACAGATCAAGCATGTGAATTAATTAACCTCAAGAATGCGTTGAAAGGTAGCTGTGTGCTTTGTAATTATCTCCATGAACAGGTTCCTCCTGTCTGTGGCTCTGGGGGGAGTGTAGGGCTATTCCATCCTGAGTCTAGTTGGATTAGACTACTAATCTTATTACTGTAGTTAAAAACGAGAGCAACCAGTCCTTAACAAAATCTTATACTATATCAGGCAGCTGTGGCTCAGGGAATAGTGTGCTGGACTTCCAATCAGGGGATAGCAAGTTCGAGTCCCACTGCAGTCAGCATGTCGTTGTGTCCCTGGGCAAGACAATTCACCCCAAATTGCTCCTGTGGGGATTGTCCACAGTACTGAATGTATGTAAGTCGCTTTGGATAAAAGCGTCTAACAAAATGACTTGTAATGTAATGTAATACTATATCCACATTACTGTTCTGCTGGTCTGTTTTGAAATACTATGATTGTGTCTATGAATGCCCATTATTAAAAGATGGTATAGACCTGGTCAGATTTCTGACATGTTTTTCTATGCATTTGATTGATAATATGTATGTTTATTGTTGTGAATATATTCAAACTGATTTTGTATTTTTATCATGAGAGTTTGGAAGACTTCTGAACAGTTAAACCCCTCACACCATACGGCTACAAATAGTTAGACCTAATTGACAGAGCAAGTAGATGAAAACTGATTGGCTTATCTTGCACTTTGCTGAAGCAGTTTATGTTCGGTTAGAGGGGAGATATCTGTCTACTATGTACTACATGGAGAGACTTGAAAGCCAATAATCCCATTGAAATACTAAAATGCTGCTGTCAACATAGAGCTGTCAACTGAAACCCTTTGCATGCCTATCTTTGCCTACATGCGTGGATTATTGCATGTTCTTACTAAAACTGTTATTTATTAGGAGGCGTGTGGTGCAGTGGGTTGTGCGTTGGTGTTCGGATCAGGGGGTCACAGATTCAAACCCCACTGCAGTCAGCATGTCATTGTGTCCCTGGGCAAGACACTTCACCCCAAATTGCTCCTGTGGGGATTGCCCACAGTATTGAGTATGTAAGTCGCTTTGGATAAAAGCGTCGAACAAGTGACATGTAATTTAATGTAATGTATTAATAATTCATGTCAATTAAGTGACACCATATTATGAATAGTCACTATAATTTCACTAAAGCCTATATCATGCATCATATGCGGACTGATCAAAATAATATTTATTACATTAGGCAACATTTTGATTACGCATTTTGCAACTTGTGAGAAATATAATACTTACTCGCATCTCTAAAGATCTTTGATTGGTCTGTACATTAACAGCAAAATCAACTATAATTCTAAAAAACCCTCAGTAACAGATAGGAACAAGGACAAAACGTTCTGTCAACACAAAACTACTAAGCTAAATGCATGACAACTATATATAGGTGGACAGAGAAAAACCCATGCATAACATGTTCATGCTTATCTCATCAGTCTCACCGTGACAAACACAGTGGGCTGCAGAGCCAAGAGCCAACCATAGGATGGTGCCATGTGATTAAGACAAACATACTGAATTGTTGATGCATGCATCAAAACATGCTAAGTTAATCGTAGTAGTTTTCACTTTAAATTGCAAGTTGAGAATAAAGTAAAAGTATTTTTTTGTTTTATTTCCCCTTAATATGATTATCATTTGAATTTAAATTATTTTCAACCTGTAAGTTTATTTATTATTTTGTTTGCTTTTTCCCAGCAGACATGTTGACTGTGTCAGAGCTGTAAAATCACAGGTGTAACTAATCACATCAACAATGGCTCTGTTCCACGCGCAGTAAGTGAGCAAAGCCATGCACTGACCCAGCTTGTGCTTTACCAGGGCCAACATTAATTGTATTAAGCACACTGGAGCTTGTCCTGAAAGGACACCTCAAATTGTAGGCTATGAAAGAGTGCCATTAGATGTTGATTCCTATAGGTGAAATACACTCAGGGCCGGTTTTTGGCATAGGCGACATAGGCGGTCGCCTACAATAGGGCGCCAGATCTGGGGGGGGGGGGGAAACATTTTTGACTGTTTGGCTCATCCTAATTTTCAGCCTTGATGTAACAGCATTCATAATTAAGTCAAGGTAACACCCTTTTCATCCCGGTTACACTTTTCATTTCATTTGCCCTGTACGATGGGCGCTGTAAGTGATGAAAGTGGGGGATGTTGACTTATCAGGCGCCTGCAGATCACAGCCAAAGTGCAAGCGAGCCTCCGAGCGAGCAAGAGAGAGAGAGAGGCCGCGCATCGGTACTGCGGATTGTTGTTGGATTGAGGCTGATAACTACAGCTCAGTGAGGTAAAGGTAAAGGACTGAATGTTTAGATAGTTCACTTTAGTCTAAGCCAGGGGTGTCAAACTCAATTTCATCATGGGCCACATTAGCATTATGGTTGCACTCAAAGGGCCGGTTGTAACTTTAAGACTATATAAAAAATACATATATAAATATTTAATATATAAAATAATGTATTACATTACATTATTGCCTCTGCATTGGGTTATTATCGGTCTACGTCTGAAAGCAGAAGTCTAGGGCAAATAATTGCAAGTCTCTTCAGTAAGGATGTCACAAAATGATTTAAAAAGAAAAGCCACATTCTGGAAAAACAAAAAAAAATAAGTGAAATTTTGAAAAGAAAGTGAAATTTTGAAGAAAAAAAAGTAACATTTTGAGAGAAAACATTTTAATTCTGAGAAAAGGGCAAATTCTAAGAAAAAATGCATATTTTGAAGAAAAAAATGCATATTTTGAAGAAAAAAATTAAAATTCTGTGAACAAATTCAAATTTGAGATGCATTGTGGGACATGTAGTTTATGGGCAACGTGCTTCTGTAAAGTAGCATGTAACCGTATAATAAACATATTATATTCTTTGCAAGCTCTTATGGGGCCACATAAAATGAAGTCGCGGGCCGGATTTGGCCCCCGGGCCTTGAGTTTGACACCCCTGGTCTAAGCTATCTCAGTGGGTCTCAAACGGTTTGGTCACAATTTATGTAAACAAATATTTCCAAGGCACTCCTTTATAATTATTAGGATAAATAAAAACAGGTTTGAAATCATTCCAATGTATACTATAGGACAGTAAACCAAAAATATCGTTTAAAACTGGAGATATAAAAAAATATGCATAAATAAATGAATGTTAACTATAGGTAAAATAAGATATAAATGAACCACAAAAATTAAATAAATTACATTTATTTGTTCTTGGCTATGGTAGGTTATTGGTTATGTTTACATACTTATTTGATTAATAAAATGTAAACCGATCTTTTTCATATGGGTGTTTAGAGTTGTACCCCCTAGATCTAGTCTCTAGTAATTCTGCAAAAGTGCACCAGATTGAAGCATTTTACTTTAAAATGTTAAAAAAAGGGGCATACCCCCGGACCTCCCTAGAGGATGTGAAGTCCACCCCCCAATTAAAACATGTTCATGCAATACTAAATACATTTGAAGCCTTCTTTATGTATATAACCACCATGTCAATACGTTTCAGTTTTTGTAGTGTATTGGTTTTTTGTAGAGATTTTTCATTTATTCTTTATATATTCTATTGTGTATTTGTTGGAGGGGGGGGCAAATCATAATCTCGCCTAGGGCCAGAGTTGGGTGTAATAATATTACTTTTGTCGGTAACGGAGTAGTGTAACGCGTTTTATAATTCAGTAATCACACTACAGTTACTAACATTGCCACGACACGCGTTACTTCGTTACTTTTATAAAATCAGTCACACTGACAGACAAGAGGGGTTTCCGCCGCAGGTTTATATGTACGTAATCTGCGCGACTTGCACGTCCACATCTCCGCGAGCAGTGCTGCATAAACATGGCTGAGTCAGCGATAACTTTCGAGGGGTGGAGGTATGCCCATTATTTTGAGTTCGTCCGAAGAATAGACAGGAATGTGACGGTGAGGTGCAAACTGTGTCCAGGCCAGAAGCTGTTATCCACTGCTGCAAACACCACATCAAACCTCAACAAACACCTGCAAAGAACACATGCTAAGGTGAAGCTAATAGCTAAGGACCCCGGAACCCAGAGTGAGGATGTTGTGAGTGCGCCGCCGCAAGAATTTGGAGGACCGGTCACCAAAGCAGAGATGGACAGGCTTGTAGCATCCTTCATAGTAGAGGTAATGTTGCCCATTTGCACAGTGGAATCACCATCGCATCGTTCAGAGATATACTGCGCAAAATACAGATAGCAGGAGACAGAGGACAGCCATGGTCAGAGCTATCTGGATCAGTCTTATGCGACAATGGAAACTGAACTAAAGAGAACATTTGAAACTTTAGCAGTCTGCGTGATCTGCCTGCAGGGAGGGGCTGGCCGGCCCTGCGAGTAAAGTAACGAGTAAAGTAACGAGTAAAGTAACGAGTAAAGTAACGAGTTACTTTATGTAGAGAGTAACGAAGTAGTGTAATATATTACTTTTTTTTAAAGTAATATGTAATATGTAATATATTACTTTTTTTTAGTAACGACCCCATCTCTGCCTAGGGCACCAACACTTCTAGAACCGGCCCTGGATACACTGCATTTATGTAAATAGGGACGTATGTATGTAATAGGCCTATAATTATACCAATTTAGAAGATAAAACCTGACTGTGAAGGGGGGAGCTAATAGAAATGGAAATAGAAAGACTTCTGTGAAGAAGTGTCAATACCGTGGCCATAAATGTGATCTCTATTTAGCATTTATTTAAAAAATATTCTTTCATGAATGTTCCGACAGATGGCAGCAGATATACATTTGGCCACTGCTATGGAGCAGCTACAACAAACGCTTCGGAAAGGGATTTCCGTGCTCCACATAAGCAAATAAACAAAGCCTATTGGGAAATGAGTTCTTTTCCTAGCGTCGCCAGACCCTTTCAGTTGGCTTCACGTACTACAAGTACTACATTTCCCGACAAGCACTATGGCCCTGTAGGAGCTGTCCCAGCTGGTTGCGTAGGTGCGTCACATTTCATCAAGCGGACCGTTCAGCTGTTTCAAAAAAGCCGGTGCTGATAACATTCATTTACCGGAACTTAATCGTTCGTGCCTT